CCAGAAAGCATTTTGTTTGTCCCCTTTGTGGGCATGTAACACGTTTCTTCCCTGGCCTCAGCCTTCTGCAGGACTATCCTTGCAACAAAGAGAGTCTCTCAACAAATATCGGGTACCGAATGAATAAATGTGTCTCTTCTCCCAAAGCAGGAACCACACTCAGGATCCCTGAAGACCCCTGGTGGGTGCTACAAAGTTATGCTAACAGCTGCTTTTGTTTCTCAGATAGCAGCAGAGCTAAACTCTTGGTGCCCCAATAGTGGAGGAAGAGAATGGTCTCCAGAAGTTTCCAAACACTCATCTGAGGAAGTTTTTTAGGAGCCCCCACTCATGCCCACTCTCAATCAAAATTGCGGAAGTAATTGGTCACTGTCATGTCTCCTTGACACGCTTGTGTGGTTGCTCAAATCCAGGTACTTTAAGAAGTATTTGCCTGGGCGAGGTGGCTCACGCCTGTAATCCTAGCACTCTGAGAGGCTGAGGCGGGTGGATCCTTTCAGCTCAGGGGTTCAAGACCAGCCTGAGCAAGAGCGAGACCCCGTCTCTACTAAAAATAGAAAAAAATTAGCTGGACAACTAAAAATATACAGAAAAAAATTAGCCAGGCATGGTGGCACATGCCTGTAGTCCCAGCTACTTGGGAGGCTGAGGCAGGAGGATCGCTTGAGCCCAGAAGTTTGAGGTTGCTGTGAGGTAGGCTGATGCCACGGCACTCTGGCCTGGGCAACAGAGTGAGACTCTGTCTCAAAAAGAAAAAAAAAAGTATTTCAGGGAACTCGGCTAGCCTCAGATGGAAGGAACTGGAAAGTCCCAGGTAACTAAGTGTATAGATTTTAAATATTTTAAAAACTCTAAAAATATTTGGCCTCCTAGCTTGAGGCCCAGGGTTTGGGTTCCCAGTGCCCAGGACTGACGCCAGGTGGGTACCGAGGAGCAGTGTGACCTTGGGCAGGTCGCCACATCAATCACCAGCTTCCCCAGTGGCTGTAAAATGCAAATGTTTAATATTTAAGGGCTTGGCTGGGAGGGCCTGGCCACATGCGTTAAACACGCCCCCAAATGATACGATTAATTACAAACGAGAATAACAAAGGGTCGCAGTGATGCATGGCGGATGCTTTACCAAGTGGTGACAAGAAACGAAACCGGCTGCAGCAGGAGGCCCCCCCCCCCAAACCATACTACGTCTCAACCCAACTCCCGTCCCGCTGGTGCGAAAATCCAAGAAAGCCGACCCCCCGAGCCAGCACTGCCAATCGGGCATTATTCTTAAAGTATCTTTCTCTTTATTTAAGTTAAACCAATTTTTACCAAGGATGTTTCCATCTTATAACCCCCAAGTATCAAGCTCATTGTCGACCAGTTCTTTTTTAAAATCAACTGGGGAATAATTACCAAAACTATATTTCGAATTTGCCAAACATCCAGATCCCTCGTTTTAGCTTTTATGGACATAGAAAGACCACACAGAGAGAAGACGACTGATTTGTCGACGCCTTTGCTCGGAAGGGCTCTCTAGGAACGACTTTAGTTTTAAAAACGGCGGTGGGAAAGGCGGGGCCGTCCCCGGTATGACTGAACAAGTAAGCAACGCCGACGTAGTCCTTTGGCCACATGGTTCAAGTAAACTGCTCAGCGCGGAAGGGCCCCTTCCCAAGCCATGCCCCCCACTCATGGACGCCCACGCACGTCCCCCGCTTGGGACAGGATGCGAGGTGCCACCCCGCGGGCACGGCCAGCACGCGGGTTGACCTGCACACCTTGTATGGTACGGAGTTGCCATAGACGTTGGAGATGGCGTGAGGTGCTTAGTGATTTAAGGCAGAGGTTGATTCAAAAAACCTGATTTAAAAACCCGGACTGATCTGGTCTGACATCAAGCTGTTTTTTTTTTTTTTTCCCCCTCTACAGTTTAATGCGGTCATTTCATGCGGCCGTCGCCCGTGTCCTCTAGGAGTTGACTTTGCTTAGACCCCTGTCCCCACCAGCCGTCTCCTCCTCAAACGCAGCAAGCACGCGGCGTTAGGGTTCTCACTTGCCGGGAGGTAAACTACGCTCTGGTTGGCTGGCAGACGGCAGGCCAGGGCTGGTTATGACATTGGGCCATGTCCCCGCCAAGGCTCTGCCATCTGCAGCTCGTTACAACGTGAGGCTCTGGAGGGCGCGAAAGACCTACGACGGCCCGTTTCACTACATGAAACAGGGGGAAAGTAGAGTGGCGTATGCAGTCTCCGCAGCATATATATCATGGCCTCCGAGGTCCCCGCAGAGCTGCAGATGTGCGTTTTAGGTGCCAGGCCTGATTTGAGCTTCGGCACGGTGTGTGCTGTGTGTGTTGATGTTGGGAGAAGGTGTAAGGGTACGTGGCAGGTGGAAGTGCCAGAAGGAGCCGGCAGACCATTGGGATATGCAGAGGGGCCATCGGTGGGGAGCTGGCTGCCGTGCCTGCGTTGTGGGGATGCATGCAGAGGCAAGAGTGCTCTGGAGAAACATTCCGAGCATCATCGCACCCGCAATTCTCCTCCTGTTAGGACTTGTTAGGTTCACGCTGTGGTTTTATCCAGGGCACGGGCGGTTCCTGGCCTCCTGCCTCCTGCCCCGAATCCTCGGCTGTCCATGAGCAGGCACTGTCTGCCTCCCTTGACCCCTTCCTAATGCCTTATACCCACGAGTCCCGAGAGCCATCCCTCACCTTCGCCTAGGAGGCCCCCAGAGGTGGCGCTCTCTGGGTGGCTCCGTGGTATGCCAGCATCGATGCTCCGAAGCTCAGAGCTTACAACCAGCGACGCCGTGGCCGGGCCCTGTGCCGCCTCAAGCCGTGCCCTTGATTTCAGGAGCGACCGGCTCTCACCTCTCCCAGGCCGCTCCGCCCAGGCGGGCTCCAGTCCCATCGTGAAGCCGACGGTGTGTGCTCTAGTCACGGGCTCCGGCTCCGGACGCCAGCCGTCGTGACAGCCGTCACGGGTCTGTGGCCGGTCACAGCCCGGTCTGCCAGCATGTGGGTGTCCTGGCCTGTGGTTCTTTTTATCCTTGGAAATACAGAAATTTAATGTAAAAAAAACCCAAAGACACATCTGACCCTCGCCATCCATGTTTGCAGACTCCAGAGCACACAGCGTCCCCACGCGCCGGCAGGGACTGCCCCTATCGCCCTGGGGCCGATGTGTGTGCCGGGCCGCCCCCCGGCCGGTCTCAGCAGCACGACTGGAGGTGCGGCTCCAGGGGACAGAGGAGGCCACTCCTCCCTCCCACAGGGCCCCGGCCCCTCCGGCCCGGCGTGCGCTGCCGTGCAGGGAACAGCACGATGATGGCGACCTACAGAAACCACAGGGAACTGACCGTACATTCTTTCTTTATATAGATTTATATTTAGTGTCCCACCATAGAAAAGTTCATATTCAAATAGAGCAGGGACATCGGGTGGGAGGGGGGAGTCTGGGCCAGGACGACGGCTGGGGACGGAGGAGCAGAGAAAAAGGCGCTACCAACGTAAACCTGCAAAATGACGCGATTCCGCTTTGTGGAAACCAGACACGATCTCGATGGGATCGAAAAATGGAGATTTCGGAAGAGTTCTCCTGGCTGCGACGACAGGGCACTCGCACCCCGTCTCGGCCCCCCGTCCTCCGACACGCACGGCCTTCCGTGGCTTCTCTGCCGCCCCTCGGCCACGGCCACGGCCACGGCGGGCACACTGATTGCTCAGCTGCGGGCTGGCGGGAGGCGGGAGCCAGGAGCAGGGGGCGGCTCCAGCTGCAGGAAGGGACCCTGGTCGCGTCTCTCGCCGCTGCTTGTGTCTGCACGGTCCCCTCGTGCCTTGCTTAAGTTCTCCGACTTTCAGACCATGATGGAATACTGAGGTATATAGTTTCGCGGAAAGTTTAAGAAACATAATCGATAATGTGATCACCGAACTCCGCCGCGTGGCGCGGGAGGCAGGGTGGCAGGGGCCTCCCCTCCGGGCCGCCTACGGCTGCAGGTTGAGCGAGAACTTCCACTGCTGCGACAGCGCCGGGCCGCACACCTCCACGCTCAGGCCGCCGCTCTTGGCCGCGCGGCTGTCCAGGCACAGGTTGCTGCCCACGTGCCGCAGCTTGGAGTTGCCCTCGATCTGCTCCCATTTCTGCAAAAGACAGGGCGTACCTTAGACAGTGTGGGCACAAACAAAACAGTACAGACCAGATCTGTTCCCAGGGTCTTCCGGCTGCACTGAAATCATTCCTTGGAGAAAAGAAATTTAATGTAAAAAAGGACCCAAAGCAACATCTGCCAAAATAATGAAAACCCATCCAGGTTTGCACGATACCAGAAGCACACACGCGGATTCCCCACACGGCAGGGACTGCCGCACCGCCCTGGGCTGAAGCTGTGGGGGTCCTTTTTCTTTTGGCTCTGAGCATAGGGAGGGAGTCTGCAACGGCCGGACAAATCAGCCGTGGGTGCTGCTGGGGCCCAGGCAGGAAATGTGTTTTCTGTCTCGGCTGGAAACTCAGAACCTCCTCTCTGCCCCACTGGGTGTCCCCTGCTCCAAGCCCCCGTGCTCTGGACTTGATGTGGGGATTTTGCATCATTCACAAGAGAGCCTGATCCCGTGACGTTCCAGCCCCAGAAAGCAGCCCCAGGACAGCACGCTGGCTCTAAGGGCCCTGCCTGTCCCCCCAGTTGGGAGCAGCCCTCCCGGAGGTCTTGGCCTGGGCACCTCCTGGTTCCCACTTGGGGTCTGTCCTTAGCAGAGCAGCGTTTAGCCA